GCGGGCTGAAATCAAACACATCATACTTGAGGAAAGCAAAGGTCACTGGAAATAAAGGAAAGACCAAACGAATGTAGAAAGATACTCTGAACCCTGCTTTTGAATGTGGTTGTTGTTAGGTGCCATCAAGTCGAGTACAACTCATAGTGACCCTATGAATAACAGACCTGAATCCTGTCGTATCCTGTGTCAATCTCACCATCTCTGACACACTTGAGCCCATTACTGCACTCACTGTGTCAATCTATCTCATTGAGGGTCTTCCTCTAATTCACTGATGCTCTCCCTTTTCAAGGAATATAGTTTCTTCTAGCAACATGCCCAAAATATGTGAAACACAGTTTTACCATCCTTGCCTCAAATGAGCACTCTGGCTGAACTTTTTCCAAGACATATCTGTATTTTGGCCCATTTAGCTTTTCTCTAGCACCAGAACTCAAAGACATCAATTCTTCTGTCATCCTTAATCATTGTCGAAGTTTCAAATGAATAGCAAGTGATTGAAAAGACCATGGCCTGAATCAGGATACCTGAGTCTTCAAAGTGACATTATTGCCCCTAAGTAATTTGGAGAAGTCCCTGACAGTGAACTTGCTGAATGCAAGGAGATCTCCTGACCTCCTGACCTCTGGTATCAAGGGTGTTGATTGTGGATCTAAGTAAGATGAAATTGTTGACAATTTCAATCTTTTTTCCATCTGTCATGATGTTGCCTACTGATCCAATTGTAAGGATTTTAATCTTCTTGATGTTGAGATGAAATCTGTATTGAATGCTGTACAGTCTTTGATCTTCAGTGTATCAAGTTCTCCTCAAGTTCAGCATGCAAGGTTGTGTCATCTGCAAAATACAGGTTATCGATGAGTCTTCCTCCAATCCTGATACCACATTCTTCTTCACACAGCCCACCTTCTCAGATAATTTGCTCAGCATATAGATTAAATAAATATGGAAAAAGGATAAAACCCTGACATACACCTTTCCAGATTTTAAACCATGTGGTGGTCCCTTGTTCTGTTCGAACAACAGCCTTTTGGTCTAGGTTTAAGTTTTGCATGAGCATAATTAAATGTTCTGGGATTCCCATTCTTCTCAAAGTTAGCCATAGTTTGTTATGATCCTCAGAGTCAAATGCCTTTGAACAATCAATAAAACACAAATAGGCATTCTTTTGGTATTCCCTGCCTTCAGTCAAGATCCATCAGACATCAGCAATGATATCCCTGGTGCCACATCTCTTCTAAAACCTGCTTGAACTTTTAAGAGTTCTCTATCAATGTACTGTTCTAGCCATTTTTGGATGATCTTCAGCAATATTTTGCTTGATATTAACTCTACTTTTAAATGTAGAGAAGCTAAAGGAAGAAATCATGAAATAAGAAAGTTGAATAGAAGATTTTAAAAGACAGCTCAAAAATACCAAAGTGTTAACAGTGAAATATAAAAATAACTGGAGTTAAAAGACCAAAAGAAGAACACACTTGACATTTCTTATACTGAAAGAAATAAAGAACAGAGTCAAGCCTAAAATTGCCTTACAGGACTATGTTGTTATGTGCAGTTAAGTCAACAATGACTCTTAGTGAGCCTATGAACAATGGCTCTGAACCTCACCTTATCCTGAGCCAACCTCACCATCTCCAACATACTTGACCCCATTTCTATAGTCACTGTGTCGATCCATCTTGGTGAAGGTAAGGTCTTCCTCTCTTGCACTGACCCTCCACGTTTCCAAGCATGACTAGCTTCTCCTGACACCATGCCCAAAGTATGAGACAGTCTCATCATCCTTGCCTCCAAGGAGGACCCTGGTTTAGGATGTAAAATAAAATTCTCCAGGCCTCTTTTCAGTTGAGAAAGAATGACTTTAGGTAATGGCCTCATCTAAGATGACACTGATATGTCAGGGGAGTTAATCTTCAAGAACAACACCCAACCAGTTTGATTGGATTTAGAAGAGGCTGTGGCACTAGGGATATTATAGGTAATATCAGATGGATCTTGGCTGAAAGCAGAGAGTACCAGAGGAATGTCTATCTGTGTTTCATTGATAATGCAAAGGCATTTGACTGTGCGGATCACAACAAACTGTGGCTGATTCTGAAAAGAATGGGAATCCAAGAACACTTGATTGTGCTTATGCAAAACCTATACTTGGACCAGAAGGCAGTTGTCAGAATAGAGCAAGGAAACACTGCATGGTTCAAAATTGAGAAGGGCATATGGCAGGGATGTGTCCTGTCTCCATATATTTTAAATCTATATGCAGAACAGATTATCCAGGAGGCTGGGCTCTATGAGAAGTGTGGCATCAGGATTGGAGGAAGACTCATCAATAATCTGCGTTATGCAGATGATACAATCCTGCTTGCTGAAACTAAGGAGGACCTGAAGCACTTGCTGCAGAAGGTCAAGGACTGCAGCCTTCAATATGGATTGAAGCTCAATATCAAGAAAACAAAGACTGTCACCACTGGGCTGATTGGCAGCATCATGATGAATGATGAAGAGTCTGAGATTGTTGACAGCTTCAGTTTGCTTGGCTCTACAATCAACACTCTTGGTGCCAGCAGCCAGCAAATTAAAAGGCAAATTGCATTTGGCAAGTCTGCTGTCAGAGACTGCTCCAAAGTATTGAAGAGCAATGATGCCAGTCTGGAGACTAAGGTGTGCCGGATACAGGCTATGATCTTTGCAATTACTTGCTATGCATCAGAGAGCTGGACAATTATTTGGGAAGATAGAAGGAGAGTTGATGCCTTTGAGCTGTGGTGCTGGAGAAGAGTATTGAATATACATACCATGGACTTCTTGGAGAACAAACAAGTTCGTCCTGGTGAGGATGAAGCCAGGCTGCTCCTTGGAGGCAAGGATTCTGAAGCTTCGTCTGACATACTTTGGACAGGTTGCAAGAAGGGGCCAGTGCTTGGAGAGGGACATCATGCTTGAGAGGGTGGAGGGACAGCACAGGAGAGGAAGACCCTCAATGAGATGGATTGATTCCGTCATTGGGGTAATGGGGATAGGTGTGTCAGAGACAATGAGGTTCATAAGGGATTAGAGCAGTGTTTAGAGCTGCTATACATAGATTGCTATGAGTCGCAGGTGACTCGATAGTACATAACAACAATAAAATACAAAGTTAGGATCTCTGGTGGCCTACTGGCAAAAAGCTCTGCTGCAATATCGTAGGCACAAGGTTTGAGGCCAGTATCTGCTCTGATGGAACAGGATGGGCAATCTCCTCCCATGCAATTAACTGCCTCTAAAAACATGCTGGAGGGTCATCTATGGGTGGATTCTGACTCTATAGTACATAACAACAACAACAACAAATAAAGTTTAAATTTTTCTTAATTTCTAATATCTCAATATCAGTGCTTCCGTTCTCTTGCCCCTTGGTTTCAGCCAATGAAGAAATTTTATAGGTCACAATTGTAACAACAACAGGATTTTTTTTGTACTTAGACACATCATCTTATCATCACTGAGGTTTCATAAAACAGAGTCCAATGAGAACTTCTTCTCAATATTATAGTGATTTTAATGAAATGAAAGATATGGAATATTGAAAACATTTTAAAAATAATGCTTTTGAAGATGAAAGAGACACTAGAGATGATCTAGGCTGCCTCTGTCCTATGGTGAAGGAACTGAGGCCCCGAGTGGCTGTTGAAGACTTGCTAAAGGGCACTCAGCTAGTAGTGTGGAGCACCAGTGAAGTTTCCCAGCACAGACCTGCTTCTGTCTAATTTTTCTGAGGCTTTAGGGAAGTTTCTAAATCAGTTTCCTCGACTGATTTATTCAATCACTAAGACTCTTGGGTGTGGTTTGGAAACCCCTGGCCTTCCAACAGATTATGCTTCAGTTTGGGAATTAAGATAATGTGGGGGAAAATGATTACCCAAGGCAGTATATCAGGTGTAAAATGGACAGCGAGGTCATACTTGGTTATTCTGAAAGTGTATGTCAAGGGATTTGCGTCAAGGGCAGGGACAAAACTAAAACTACTGGCTATTTCTACAACTGGGAAAGATCTTTCATCTGCATTGTTCTATAAAATGCTTGTCTGTCAGATATTTTTCTAAATCTGAGCATTCAGATTAAGACAGACTAGGAAGAAGGATTTGCCATCCACTTCTGAAATAGCAGGCCTTTGAAAACCTTATGTACAATAGAATACACTTAGATTAGCAGATATAGAATACACTTAGACTAGCAGATAGGGCAACAGATGTGGATTCAGTGACTGGGGTAATTAGAGTGGGTGCGTTGGAGATAGTGAGATTGGCACAGGATAGGGCAGAGTCTAGGATTGTTGTACATTGGGTCACTATGAGTTATAGGCGACTCAACAGCACGTAACAACAACATGTATGACCAAGGAGGGCTTGATTAGGAGGCAGGGCTATGAGCTGGACTCCCAGAGAAAGTTAGGGTTTGGGATTGGAGAAGACGTTTGAGGCAAGAGGCTGGGAGAGTACCGGATGTGTGAGACATCTTTAGCTGTAGATGGGAATTCAGTGGGAGATTTCTTAACTTGAGCCACAATTTAAGGCATCTTTCAAGATAGCAGACTCTAGGAAAGATATTTTAGGATTTTACATTGTATTTTGGAAGTTGGAGCCTTCAGTGTGGCCTAGGGAAATAAGTGTGTACAGTATTCATTGGATGCAATACAATTTTTGGTCTGTTGTGATCATATAGGGTATGTTTCAGTCTTACCTGTTTCTGCTGACTATATTTTCCTGATTTCCCCTCGTGTTCTCAGTTGTCAGACTCTTTTCCCTAGGTGTCCTCTATCTAACAAACTCCCACCGCTACTGTAGGTTTTGGAACATGACCTGTGACCCTTAAGTGAATTTCTCCAGGTGGATAAACTCTACCTCAAGCCTCGGAGGGGCCTCCTCATTCCAGAAATGTGGCGGAGCTGATAGACTCAGGCTCTGGTCGCCTGCCCCCCAGGCAAGGTGGTAGGGGCTAGTGAGGAACTGTCTGCATCTTTGCAGCTTGGGCAAAGGAGGAGCAAGCATTTTAGGGCTGGTCAGTTGGCTGGTCTGGGGATGCCCAGGCAGATGCGGAGGCAGCTGGAAAAGTGGCACCGCACTGGGCTTGCCCGAGCTGCCGCGGTTCCTAGGAGACCGCGGAGCAGCAAGCCTGCGGGGGAGGGGGAGCAAGTGGGTTGCTGCTTTTAGCAGCTGAAAGGGCTGCAGGGAGCTCTGGGTAAGACATTTTCTGCTGCTGCTGCTTCTGCGGTAGAAGCCGCCGCGAGTAAGTCAGACGAAGGAGGATCGAGAGGGAGGAGGTTTCAGTTGCAGCCATGCTGAATCACTGTTGCTGATCAGATTCCCCGCTGGTGGGCTCTGAGAACAGAGAGAAGCGATAGGACTGGGGAGCAGGGCTAGGATTCCCGGGCGCATGCAGACTTCAACCGCTACCACCCCGGCTGGGCCTCGCACAATGGAGGGTGAAAGGTATGTATGTGTGTGTAAGTGTGTGTTGTGTGTGTGTCAGTGTGTGCTCACTCGTGGTGCAGCCACCAGCTTTTGTGTTTGCACTCACTGGGCAGGTTTACAAGACCTGGCCACTGATGGATCCCAAGGGACAAGCCGAGTCAGAGCAGGGAAGCCCACCCTTTCCAAAGCTTGAATCTCCAGAGAGCTGGCTTCCGCAACGGCTGGAGTGAGTTTGCTGAGGAGCATAGCACCCTCAGAGAAGGGACTTCCTGGCTGGTGTTGGGGAGTACTTTCAGCACGGGATTACCTTTGTCAAGCTGTTTCAAGGAGGAGTTTCCTTTCCCTGGCTCTTTTCCCAGGGTGTTTATTCACTGCTAGGTGATGATTTTGATGTCCGGAGCAGGTCTGGGATGGCATAGAGTGCTTGCATTTTGACGCTGAAGTGCGGAAATCTTCCTCAGGCATGCCTGGCTGCTGTCTTTCCTAGAAGTGTGCCTGTGGGCACGCACTCATTTAGGAGAGGGAGAGAGAGAAGAGCAGCCCGTTCAGAAGACACTCCGAGTGGAGTTTCGCTTGTCTTGAAAAGTTTGTGAGTGACACACTGGAAGGAGTATGTTTTAGAAATAGGAAATCAAGGGATTTTAAAATACCTGAGTTCAACTGGATCTAAATAGTGAGGGTTTTGTTCTTTACATTTTTCAATCTGTTCTCTCAGGATCTGATTTTTTTCATTGTGAAAAGGTGATCAGTGCAGGGAGGGGAGGGCTCCTCTGTGCAGGAGGAGGCTTTTCATTCTGTGGGTATATGGATGGCAAGGGACAAGGCTCACTGTTTTCTTTGAGGAAGGAGAAGTTTAAGGGAGGGGTCTGGCCAGGGCAATGCCTCAGAGATGCCTGCCTGATGCAGACAGTAACAAGCTGGGTAAATGATAACAACTTCAACTAAGTCAGTACTGTCAGAAGACTACCTCTCTGAACACTTGGCTTTGCATGGGTTGCTCCTTTGAAAAGAGTGAGGTCATTAAGCATCTCTAGACATTATTATTATTATTGTTGTTGTTATTATTATTTATTTTGTTGTTGATGTTGAGGAAGATCCTAAACTAGATGGATTGACAGTGACTGCAGCAATGGGTTCAAGTGTGTCAGAGATGATGAGGATGACACAAGATAGGACAGGGTTCAGGTCTGTTGTTCATAAGGTCGCTATGGGTCTTACATGACAGCACCTAACAACTGCAACTAAAACAATGACCCCTTATTAGAATTAGGATGGCTGTTTGAGTGTCATCTTGTTCTCTTACCTGAAGAGGCTTCAGGGATTGTATCTGTTGATGTGACTCCCACAGGAAGTGTCTAGGTCTGCTCACACAGTGTGTGATGCTGGCACACCTCTCCTTGGTGTTCTCTGCTACAGGAGCTTGGTGGTGAACTCCACAGGGCTGGCCAAGCAGCCCATCAGCTTTCGGGCTGGAGCCTGTTTCCGAGGTCTGGGGCTCAGGTGGGTACTGTCCTCATCTTCTCCTATGGCAGCTAACAGAAGGGTGAGGCAATGTAGATGTAGAGGTTTCCATCCATGCCTATTTATTTTACTCATAATGTATTCGGCTGAAAGGTTCTTGTGTGACTGGCAGCAGGTGACTATAGGTGATATAAGCATTGCTTCAAAAATATATTTTTTTGACATAATATTTCTGTGTTCAGAAATGTAATGTTACTCTACTTCCAAGGAGCTCTCTCACTCGTCAGTGCCCTGGTGCCTGCCTGCCAGGTGGAGTGGCTTCAGGACACCTAGATGCACATGTCTTTTTGCTTTTCCTCCACTACCTGGTACATTTGCTAGAGGCAGAGGAAGGACAAGAAATTGAAACTTGGCAGTTGCCAGTGCTCACCAGGTCACTCACCTCACCATCTTTTGTTCCCTCTCCAAGATCAGTTTACGGTGCCAGGCATTCAAGTTTTCTGAAATCTGGCTCCGGTCTCCATTCCCACTACTTACCCACGCCCCCTCTCAGTTCTAGGAGGCTCTTGCTCAGTATAGCTCTATCAAGACTCAGAGTTTCTGTTGATTGGAATGCACTTCCCTTTCTTTACTCTAAAAATTATCCACCTATCCAAGTCTAGAGGACATGATGCTGTGTGGAATATGTCAGGCACAAAAGGACTGGATAAGACCATGGAGAGAGAATATATCTAGAATGGTTACTAGGGAGAGAGTAGAAAATGAATTAATAGGCAATGAATACTTACTGGAATGGGTTAAAGGCAGAACTATGTTGAATGAATGGGTGATCAGACATTATGTGTATTATGATTGATGTTGGAGAACAGAATGTGCAAAAATGATTGGGGAAAAGCCCCAATATGCTTTGTAAGCTCACTAAAAACATAATTGAAATATACAATGTTATCCATCTATCAAAGTTGTCTTGAAATTCCACTTTGTCTTGGAAATGTCAGGGTTTTTTTTTGTCACGAATCACCAGTTGGAACAGACTCATAATTAACCCTCCAGTGGGTTTTCAGAGGCAATAAATTGCACAGAAGAAGATTGCCCATCTTTCTCCCATGGAGAAGCTGGTGGATTTGAATCATGCCTCACTGTGCCTTGAGTTAGGCAGTCCTTACCACTAACGCTGCCAGAGCTCTCGGTTGTCCATTCCTGGCTAATGTTTCTTCCAATGCCATTATCTTGAATTTGCATCTCATAGTTGGGTGGTGAATAATAAATAGAATCATGAGACTTTCTTTGTGCTATTGCTTCATGTATTTTACAAGTCTCCCAAACTTGTAAACATGTTCTCAAGAGCAAATATGATGCTTTTTACCTCTGAATTTGCCCCATTGACTACTATAGAGTTGTATATATAGTAGGTGCTGGATGATTATTTGCTGATTAACTCATAACTTTTGTAATCAGCTCTGATAATTAAGAAGAAAGTGTTGAGAGGGGAGAGTGAAACCTTCAGTGAACAGGTTCATCTTTGAATATCAACCTTATTATCTCAGTATGGGTAATTGACCCCATGGAATGCTTTGAGGTAGGGGCTGAGCATGAGAAGTAGTCTTGTTTTACAAGTTCCCTGGGAAACCCAGGGCCAGAGAAGCCTAATGACTAGCCTAGGATCACATGGCCAACCTCCAAAGACTGGAGGGATCCTGAATCTGGTGCTTGTTCCCTACTCAGCCCACTAAGCTTAATTGGAGCTGTTTTTAAGCATTACAAATTTCAGTTAAGAGAGTCCTAATGAACAATTCTATTTTTCATTTCCTTTTTTTTTTTTGCCATGAGGGTATGAAAATAAATTCTACCTTGAAAGGTTGCTGGTTAAAAGCACAATTTTAGAGTAACAGACCTAGTAGTGAAACTATAAGCTATATGACCTTGAATGTGTCACCAATTTTCAGAATGAATTTTTTTCCCTTCTGTGTAAACCCAAACTCTGCTGCTTAGATAGTTCAGACTCATGCAGCCTTCTCTTGGGTTTGTGAGACTGTAAATCATAATGGGAAGAGACTGCTCATCTCTACCCACGTTCAAACGCATTGCTGTAGTTACTGTGTCAATCCGTCTTCTCTTTCCCTGCCCCTTTGCTTTCACCTGACAACATGCCCAAAATATGTGAGATGAAGTTTCATCATCTTTGCCCCAAGGAGCGCTCTCTTTGCACTTCCTTCAAGACAGATTTGTTTGTTCTTTTGATAGTCCACGTGATATTTGTAACTATTCATTAACACCACAATCCAAAAGCAGTGATAATTGTAAGTCATATTTTAGGACTTTTCTATATGTATCACCCTTAAACAGACATAGACCTTTGCTTTGAGGGAGTTTATTAGGCCATCATCCTATGTCTTGACTAAAATTATCTCCTCACATTAAGATACCATGTTGTTGTTTTGCACTGTTGAGTTGGAACCAACCTATAAGTAAGCCTCCAGCAGATTTACAGAGGCAGTTGATCACATGAGGAGATTCGTCTTTCTTCCATGGAGCAACTGGTGGATTCCAGCCAGCACAGCTGGTACCTAGCACAGCTTCGTATCACTAGACCACCAGAGCTCCCTAAGGTACCAGATGGGGATTAGCAGTTCTTCTCCTAGTTTTACCAACATTTATTTGTATTCTATTTTTTTGTAGAGACCTTGAGGCATACTTTAGTGATCTGAGACCATGAGCTGGATATTACCCCTTTTCAGGCCAAAAGTTGTAGAACTTGCAAACTTGTGCTTGTTCTTACTGCTTTCCTCCTCTGTCCCCCCCTCTCTGCTGGCCCTTCTGATGTCTCTAGCTTCCTACGTAGGAGACTTACTATGGCTTTATTAGCTGGAGGAAGGTAACTTTACCTCTGTTTTTTAAAGGAAAAGGGTCTCTGGCTTTTAGCTACTATAGTTATAAATGATGTGTATGTGTGTAGAACAGATAGACATTAAACAGGGTGGGTACGACTGTTATTGGCATTTTATTTCAGTTCTGGAAATCAGCCTTGTAGATGGATTTAATGAAATTTGCAGGCAGGTCCAACCTCTGGCAAATCTGCAGAACTGTGAAGAAGCATTATAAAAATGAAGTTAATTTTCTATTATCTTAAAATTGTGAGGTGTGGGCCCTCCCCCAACACCAGAAATGTAAGAATGCCTCTGCTTGAGAGCAGCACCATGTGCCCAGAATTGTGCAATGAAATTGTATGAGGGGTTCCTAGAGGGAGCAGGCGGGACTAAATGACATGTCCTTCCTAAGAAGAGTCTGCTTCTGGACCTCAGAGGGCTTCTGAGACTAAAGGACCTTATCTTTTCATCATTGATACAGGAATAAGGAGATATTTTCCAAGAAGACATACATGATTTGCCCAGGATCATCTCCAGAAGTCATGGATAGAAACTTTTGTGAACAAATTTTGGGCATCACTACTGCTTGAAGCAGATGTGCATTTCAACTACGATAATTGAAACCAAATTTTCCAATTTGGAAATACTTTTTTGGCATTGTCAGTTTTCCATGTACAAAAACAATCAGTG